AGCTCTATCGCAGCTATTCGATATTAAACTATGGTAGATTCAGGTGTAAGGACGGTACCTAAACGCGGTCGACCGGTATCAGGCTCTTCTGGTAACCTCGAACTCGATCGAATTCGGGCAGACACCGCTGCTCGTGTCCGCCGACACCGACAACGCCAACGAGAACTCGAACGTATTATACACAAGCAGACATTGAAGCTTCTAATACCCTACTCTCTCTCGCCCAGCGACAGGTGACCGATACTATTGCTGAAACTGGAGAGGTGGAAGCTGAGGGCACAATCCAAGACACCCCAGTACAGCTTGGACTACGTATTCGAGGGCTCACTCTAGCGCAGGATAGCCACGCAGTACAGCAACAACAGCAAGCTCAAGAGAACGACGTACACCAAGAACTCTACCAACCCTCTCAATCTATCTCGTCTCGTTCTATTCCGTCCTCGTCTAGCCGTCCTATCTCGCCTCCTCGACCACGCCAGCAACAAACCCAAAACAGAAATAGCCAGGCGTTACAATTACGGGCACCATCAGCGCCACCACCACCAGCACAGTCATCTCCTCGTCGGGTATAGAACCTTTATATTTCCTTATACTCTAAGATATATAACATCTCGCAGTATATTAACGGTACCTCTAGTCGCAAATAAACCACTTCTTTAGCCGCCAACCGACCCGGAATAGCTTTCAATCTATAACTGCGCAAACCGCCCGTACGCCCGTGCCCATACCCGTCCCCAATATCAACCGAAGTACCTCAACCCAACGACCATCCTACAGTCCTCTTACCAACCGAGCAACCCCCCCGTGACCTTCGTACAGTCCTCTCTCGACCTAGACACCCAGACGACCTTCCTATAGCCCTCTTTCCTCCTAAACAGCGAGTCGGTCGAATCGATGCTCCTTATCCACTACCTCTAACACCGAACTCCTTGGGAGCGAAGACTATTTATACCCTTTAAGTAGCGACGATGACGAATGGCAAGATCTCCCGATCGATATACAGGCTGGCGCGCAATATATACCTATAGATATAGAAGAGGTAGTACAAGAGGAGGCTATACCTACTAGAGAGGATGAGTTTACGCATATTATGTCTTTCGACAACTATAATACGCCCCAGACCAATACGCCAGCCAACAATGAACCTCCTATTATAGGGCCGCTTGTAGACGTAATCGAGGACGACCTCGTGACACCAGCAACAATTGTGGCAGACAAGATCTTCAACTTCTTCCACCGAGGATTCTATGGCTGTATGCCGGAGCAGCATGAACAACAGTTCCAGCGCCATCTTGATCAGACTGGGCAGCAGCATCATCATAACCTCGACAGCATTTTTCATGAGCCCGACACCGCGTCAGTCTTGGGCGAACCTACCATCATGACGCCTGAACAACTAACCGAGTCCAACTTGCCCACACCCGACCAACTCAACAACATCTTCTGTGGTATTGGGCCCGGCCACCCGACGCCGCGTCATGTCTGCCTACATGCCGAGGAGACGACACCTAGTGCCCCTGATCAGGCCTAACATTATTCCAGTCTGGAACGATGATCGTTCCACGGCAAAATAGGGTCTTGGCGTTGAGGGTGGCTCTTCGTTCCAGTGGTTCTTCGTTCCACATATAAACTCTTGCTGACTCAGGAACACGAAAATTCCACCGGTGATGCAGGATATTTTCTTATATCACCTTCATCACAGTA